CCGTGACATATACAGGACTGGCAGAAAAGCAAAGCGGATAGGGAAGCGGAGCAGATGAGAACCGCCCGAGTTCTACCATGAGGGGTTACGTGGGCGCAAGTGGATGATCATCATAGCGAATTCCTACACTGAGGCTTTTAGGCGGCTCTATACGGAGAATAAGATCGTCGCACGAAGGTACCAGGAGGTCCAAACGCTTCCGGGGCACTGGGAGCGGGTCATTGGTGAAGGAGGGATTTACTTAACTTGGAAGCCAAAATATTACTTTTTTATCTATTCTCCTCTTTGTTTTATTCGAAAAAAAAACCGACGGCACTTTTGAATGGGATGACCTAATACTTGTCTCTGTCTTCAGTGTTTCTTCGGATGTTCTTCACAGCAAGAACCAACTCTTTATAACTCTTTCTATCATTCAATGACTGTGCAACATCTGAGTATCGCTGCTTTCCCCCATTTCTGAATGAGCCCTGCGACAAACCCATATTAGTATAGCAGTGATTATGACGCTTTTGAGCCCAGACACAACAAAGAGCAGATTCCAGCTCTCAGATAAGATCTTGAAACCTCGGCATTCGCCAACGAGGTTTGTAGGTGGAAACTTTTATTCGGCCAACGTTTCGACCTGTTCGTCGTCGTCGTCAAGGGCCTAAACATGGGTCAAAGCTTAATAATTGTACGCTATCCCACCAAACGTCTTGTCATGAATAGCGAATGAGTGTTACTCTCCTTTATCAGGACGCACGTGTTCGCTTATCATGTATGCAATTCGCAATGTTCCATGAACGGTAGTAGATCATTCGTAATGGATACACACTCGTTTCGGTTGTTCATGCTTGGATTTCGTGCTGAAATCCAAAAGGCTTCCAGCGCTTTCCTAGCTGAAATCTCTGTCTCATAGGCCAAAATCGTGCACTTGATGTTGAAATCTTCGCCATCATGCTGCTCTATTCTATGCCTCCCCAACAACTAGAAGGGACAAGGCGTTTGGTGGGATAGCGTGCAATTCTCAAGCTTTGAGCCATGTTTAGGCCTTTGACGACGACGAACAGGTCGAAACGTTGGCCGAATAAAAAGTTTCCACCTACAGAACCTCGTTGGCGAAAACAGAAGAACAAAACAACACAGAGCGCAAAACGACTTCTTTTCGGACTTGGGTAATTAAACAGTGAAAATTGCGGAGTATGGTGCTGTCCCGGAGTCTCATTACTCATCTGAATGTGTATTAACAATGAAACTCAAAAGACAGCAAAAGTCTCAAAAGTTTTTAAAAATATATCTTATCTGGCTATATTTCGGTGCGTAGCACCTTCTTCAGGCCTGAAATTATTTAGCTTGTTTTATGCAGAATATAAGCCTACAGAGATGTAACCCGCACGGACTCCTCCCATACGAGGCACTTACCGAGATATCCTGGCAAATTAGTCAACCCACCCTGACCACACCCTTAAATAGTGGATGGTGAAGTCATAATGTGATCGCGTCACATCCCACTATTTAAGGGTGTGGTTAGGGTGGGTTGACTAATTTGCCAAGATATCTCGGTAAGTGCCTCGTATGAGAGGAGTCCGTGCGGGGGTTACATCTCTGTAGGCTTATATTCTGCATAAAACAAGCTAAATAATTTCAGGCCTGAAGAAGGTGCTACGCACCGAAATATAGCCAGATAAGATATATTTTAAAAAACTTTTGAGACTTTTGCTGTCTTTTGAGTTTTTTGGAATAAACTTTTGGAGTTTCACATTGTTAATACACATTCAAATGAAAATTGCATAAAACAAATCCGGCGCAGTTCGGCGACAGTTGCCATTTTGCACTTTTATTGATTCCCATCGAGTAGGCTCATAGAGACATCATGTTACAGGATAGCTGTCATAAGGCTAGACGAGCTTGCTGCAGGTTCGCAAGAGTTCACCGATTTCACTATAGTGAGACTTGTAAACCGGAAATAGTAAAGCAACGGGAGTGCAGTATGCCCCCCGTCGCCGAACTGAACAAATCCATCACGATCGACTACAATTATAAAGGCATCAATCATACAAAAGTGGAATCAAGAGTCAGACCAAAGCTGAATCAGATTATGGCCTGATATGGCAGGCGGACGCGCGCAGGCCTTTGTGCAGGGCCGTCATCTGAGATTTGCTCAACAAAGATAGTTTGCCCTTTCTCAGCGCTTTAAGGTTTTAAGCTTTCTTATGCCAACAAAAAAAGGTCTAAAAAAATTCAAAAGTCTTCGCTGTTGATCAACCCTTTGTGGGATGCGGCACGCATTCTACTTCCATTCAGAATCGCAGTGGCTTATTGAATGCGATGTGGCCTATACAATGACTTGCGGTGGCCAGCCGATGTACAAGTCAGTGTTTTTATTCTTCCGGACAAGTCTGGTGCCATTCACGCCCCGGAGGAGAGGCTTGTTGGCCTGGGGAGGAGTCGACCCGTTATCCGAAGCCCTGGCGCCGCGCCAGTGGTAAAAGCGCGCCCACTTGTCACGCCACCAACCGTCCGCCTTATCAACAAAAAAATACCACCTCCGCCTCAACAAAAAAAATATCAAGGAAATTACTGGAAAACCCGTACCAAGCGCAACGTGAAAGGACTTCTTGTGCGAAATTGAGATTACTTGACCTGCACGGACTAACCAAATCGCCTCAGGGTTTTAGCGCTCATATTTCTCAGATATTTTAAGGTTTTTCTTTTTTTCAGTAATTAGTGATATTGCAAAATTATTCATGTTTCCTTCAGGTAGAAAACCACAGTGTTGGCGAAGGTGGTGACAACACTGCAAGACGAGTGAGGCGATCTTCATTTGTAGGCACTGCTCAGTATGTCAGTCCAGAGGTGAGAATTTTACTTTATTAATAGTCAGGGAGCAGTCCACCAATTATTTCATTTGCATTTCAGATCCGAAATTTCGGCTGATGAACTTGGGTGGGAGGCGAATATATTAAAGCGTCAGTGGCGAACACCAGGGGTCTTCTTATGAAATTTGATGTAGCCTGGTGGGGTATTGAGGATTTGCTGAATAGCCTCAAAGTAGAGAGAACAGCTTTGGGATGAGCGCGACCAGAAACGTGCTAACGTATCGGTAATTCTTGGATAAGCGTAATGTCCCGTTGTGTCGGGGGATTCCCCTAGATAGCCACCCCTCCCCTCGCCATAGCGGAAGGTTATAAGCGCCCAGAAGTGTTATAATCACTTGCACAAACATGTTTGTTCAGGTGCTTGAAGGAGATCCCGTCTCACCGGCTACAGATCTCTGGGCATTTGGAGTGGTTGTTTATCAATTTTTGACTGGTAATTTCTCATTCCGTCATCCTCTGATAATGAAAGAATGATTCAAAGGAATTTCAGGGAAACATGCATTCCATGACGCATCGGAATACCTAATGTACAAACGTATTCAGAAATTATTGTATTCGTTATCCTTTTCTGATTTCCCAAAAGACGCGAAGGATTAGTCGATCGGTTATTGATTATCAAGGTGGGATTGTTAGAGAGATGGTCAAGACAATCGTTATTTGCTGCTCAGTCGCGCGCGGGTGTAGGCGCGGCCTTTTCTGAGTTTGCATCAGCTCATCTTTCCCAAGCGCGAGTCGCACGCGACGCCCAGCAGCGCGGCAAATTACGATTGTCTTGTCCCATACCCGGACTACTACTTTATTACCATCAGAATGCGTACTACATGAGCAAACAGCATATGATACTTTAGCCCGAGGATCGACTTGGTTCTGAAAAGACAGGCGGTCCAGAAGCCATCCGTGGCCATAAATTCTTCGATGGCATTGATTGGCAGCAATTGTGATAAACCACTAAAACCTCCCTGCATGTTTCCACTTTAGTTGTCAATGTCGTTTGGCGTTGTTTCGAAAGCAATATTCGCCTGTGCATCCGTTGCCTGAACGAGTATGTTTTACATGAATGTTTACGTTGAAAATGCCATAAACAGTCGCTCCTTCGATGTGTGCTTATTTTCCGGTTTCTTGCCTCATACCTATGAAATATGAAACTGTGTGGCGATCTGGGAGACGGGCAAAACAATCGCAATTTGCCGCGCGGCGCAGTGAGGCGACTTGCTGCGTGGCGTAACAGATTCATGCATGTGATCAGCTTGTCGATAAGATTAAGGCAAAACTCGTGGGATAAGCAGGAGGGCAAGACTCGTGAACGAAAGATTACCATATTCATTGCGGGGGTGGTCCGGACTCGCAACTTGTTAAGCCTCGCGCGAAGTCACTTGCCCACGCCCAGCGCGGCATAGTACGATTGTCTTCCCACATGCCCCGGAAATCGTGTACTCCTCTCCAAATTTTTTATGCATTTTCAATTGATTTTATCATTTCAGTAGCTTCTGAATGGCAAAGGTTATAAGAAGTGAGTCACATGTATGTATATGTCAAATAGAGTCGAATAAGATTTTCTACTTGTTTAGCGAGGTGGGTCTATCGACCACATGGAAGATGGCATCGGTATTTGCCTAGGCGAAATGACGGTATAAAAGAGTTCGACTATGAAAAAGGAGGGTCTTTGTCCGAATTCAAGGCGGAGTTGATGAGCCAGGTGGTTCCGGTTTTTTGATTTCATTGTTTCTTCTGAAAAACCTTTGTACGTCATGAGAAAGTTTCGAAGCTTCAGAGCTTTGAAGAGCCAAAGGCTGGACCATCCAAGCTGTGGATGGCATGGTTATATCGCGATCTTAGCGGAGAACCGAAATGGACCAAAGCAAGAGTCAGCAAATTATTTGGCCCTGATCCCAAGGTAATAGTTTTGCTCTCGTGCCAAATTTGAAGGTTTTTACTTGGCGCGCTAGTAGTTATGGATGGCGGGGGGTGGGGGCTCTACCACGCTTCTGTTTCCTTTCGTCTCATCAAGGATTGTGACCGGAGCCAACAGTCGAGAGTCAGGCGACAAAGGGCCGTGGAGTACACAAACGAAAGATACCACTGTTTTTCCTGCAGAATCTCTTCGCCGCTATGCAGTCTTCTTCTCTGTGGGTGCTGGAGCGGTGCAGGCGACCGCAACTGGTGGAGAATAGACTGACAGCGCGCCTAACTCAGCCTCCCTAAAAGGCTCCAACAATTTGCAGTGAAGACTGTAAGGGGCGTATAGTCAGAAAGTATCCACATGCACAAGTTTCGGAATCCTGGTACGGCACTTTCGGTTAGCAAGAGGTTTGCAGCCTCTGTGATTTGCGGACGGGGGCATCACGTACGAAATAGCTCGACTCAATTAATGGTGTGTTCGGAGTTGCGCTCTAAGGGCATCTGCCACGATAAATTCGACATAGGCGTGTCAGAGATCGATTACGCATTGCGCGAAACATTGTTGTCACCTCAAGCAAAAAGCTGCGTAGGCTTTCGCTTCCCAACTATAGGAACCGTTTACAGCCCTAACCGAGGTCTAATTTGCGGATCCAGACGCCCAGCGCTGCTAGTTTGAGCAAGTACAGTTTATCGCGCATAATGCCTTTAGGCCCTGATTTTTTTTCGCAGCTTTCGAAAGGTTTATCGAGATAATTGTGCTATATGAGCTTCGCCTATTTCAGTCCTTTCGGGGGATGCGCTACGGCGACGTCTATTTCATTTAGAATATGAGTGGCTTATGAATACTATGTGACCTATGCTGTAGACTTATGATGGCCAGCATCATAATCAGTTTGTTTTTGAACTTCGCAAACGAAAGTTGATAAGTTTACATTCCCGGAGGGTAGAAAGGTTTGCGTTGCGTCTAGGTCGGCCTGATCATGGAGATTTGATTCCTGCGGAGGCACCGTGCGTAACGCATGCGCTTGACACTACACCGACCTCCACTATAACAGGGTTCACTAGGAAGGCTGTTCAAGCGATACTTCGCTAGAACATCTCTTATTTTAAACATCTCTGTACCCTGTAAATGTTTACTCAATACTAGTGGTGGTACAGAAGTTGCTGGAGGGCCTTAGTATCATTTCCTTCATCATACTGAGGTGGTATAGTGGCAAGTGGCGCGCTTACCACTTGCACGGTCCTGGGATCAAATCCCAGATCGGATTCCCCGGGCAACACGAGAAGTTACTACCTACAGGGATGGTGAATTGGTAACAGATCCGCCTGGAGGATAAGAACACTGACATGTACATCGGCAGCCCGTGCAAGTCATTGTAAAGGCTTTATCGCATTCAATTAGGCCATACGAGTTCTGATGTAGAGTAGAATGCGTGCCGCATCTCACAACGGGACTGATCAACGGCGAAGACTTTATCCTTTAATATTGACTGTTTTCTTTTGAAGGTTGGACGTATGGAAGTGTTTCCGAATACGTCGGCATACAATGAGGAATTGTGGCATATAAAACATCTCATCGAGCTGAAGCCGATGACATTTCCGAATGGAGAGCCTACTGCTGATGACATTTATGGTGTCAAGGTAACTTTCTTTATCTTACCTACCGCTACGTCATAGGACTTGGCGCGTAACTAAAGACAGTCCGCTATTGCACGTCGTGGGTAGTGGATTCAGAAACAAAATAAGCGCATAGGGGTGAGTTGAGGAACGACTACTTGAGCAAAAAAATAAGCCAAAACTTCAAAACACTCTGAACAAGACCCTATGCAGGTCTTGAAACTAGACGAGTTAATGGGGGTTTGGACGAGTTCTCCGAATTTTGTTGATGCGTCAGTGCTGATTCCCTGAGCTATAAGCTACATCCCGAGCAGCAATGGAAGATCTCATTGTCATTGTTGAGACTTCAAACAACGAGCGGTTCCATAAGACTGTGAAAATCGACTCGTAGAAATAGTTACATTCCTCATCATTGCGGACCGGTGGGGCGTGTCAGCCAGTATGAGTGTGCACACCGTTCTCAGCCTTTTTGTTGAAACGCGTATGCGACAAAAAGTGGTAGAAAACGAGTAATACGAAGGATATAATACAGTAATGTCACTTGCCCGCTTCAACAACTGGTGCAGAACGACTTTGGCACCGCGCCAAACGCAGCCGCACTGACACGCCCCACCGGTCCGCAATGATGAGGACTGTACCTGAAATAGTGGAGAAAGAAAAAAAAAGTCAGGATTAGGCTTTGTACAGAAACAGTCTGCTCACTTTAAAAGGAAACTTCGTTAGACGCGGAAACTATTGGGGATTAATTTCAAAGCTAAATTTAGACAAAATACTTTTTTTCATTGAAGACTTCCATTAGCAAATCCGGACAATTTATTCCAAGCTAAATGGTGACACAACTTCAAGATAAACAGAAGTAGTGAAAGAAAAAAACGCAAGCACTGCTAGTAGACAAGTTAAAGACAATGTTACGGGTAGTAGGTGCTCAGTCATCAACCACTAGCCCATAGGTAACTCCCCGGTAGAGAAAAAAGCGGGAAAAAAACTTGGGACACTCTAACCGAGGCCTCCTTAGCACTGGGGCTGGCGCCTTGGACGAGTTGTCGGACGTCGGCAAGCTCAATCAGCATGGATTCGACGTGCAACCATTTCCCGGCAAGAGCACAGGAAATCACCCTACGACGCTCCAGGCAACGCTATGTACACACAATTCCGCTTGTAAGCCGTTGTCTTGCAGAGTGAAAGTAATCGTGGTTGCAATGGTTGCAATAATCACGCGTCTCTAGCTTCTTTATCTCGCCGTTTCGAGTGACGAAAGTGGTATATTCTCTGCGAATGCGGACAACGATGCCAAATGCACGGAGGCATTTCGCGGACCACTTGATCGCGGGAAGTGTTTTTAAGCCGCGCTCCATTTCGCTACCGGAGCGATTTTGAAACCGGGTGGCTGCTGTCGACCTCGCATCACCGCTAGTCGTTGGACCGCTGCAATGGTCAGATGAACTGCTATCGTGAAAACGGCAGTTAGCAGTTGCGCTCCACTAATACGAGATGGGTCGCATTTTGGCTGCAGTCGCGCGATTTGGGAATCGTTCGAATCGTGGACCGAATCATGAACACGGTTTCATACTGCACAAGAACGAAGTGCGATGTTGTACTAAACGAAAACATCAAAACCTAGCAACGCCATCCACATATAGTGATTGCAGAAAAAGGTGAAGATCATCCGGGCGGAGTTCAGCGATCGTGACAAACTTCTGGCGTTCTTGATGAGCTTTCTCCATCTGCGAAGCGACAATTCTCTGCGATCGCTGACGTCGAGGCGGGGGGCTGGAGCGTGCCGGTCTGGTCGGGCCTGTCCGGGCCGCCTACGGGGCGGTGGCACCGGGGGGGCGGGAGCAGGGAAGGGGGCTGTCGGGCCGCGCGCATTCTTGTGCAAGGAATTCTGTACTGTAATTCGCTGCAAATCAAGGGGCGTGTCAAGCAGTATGAGTGTGCCACGGCGCCGAACCCGTTCACTGCCACGTTGAAGCGGTATGCGAACAGTTTGGTCGAAAAGCGAATGATACGAACATTGTGATGCTGTCCTGCCCCTGTGACGGGTTTGGTACCGCGCGAAACTCATTCCATCTGACACGCCCTTTCGTCCACAGCGAACTAGACTTTACTCGGTCGAGTGATTACTAAATAACTGATGTAGTCCATCCGGAAAAAATGGTCAATGGTGACTCTGGTCCTAAGTGGACAACAAGGTGTCCACCATTAATGCTGAAGAATATAGCTAAAAGGGGAAAACATAGATGGGATCTGGTTTCGGTCTCTGAATTCGTGTTTGTTTTAGGTGCATCCAGACGGCCGATGCGAAGTAGCCAAGGATGCCACTCCATTGAGTGAGGAACAGCTGAGACTGATGGATCCGAGCAAACAGGTTAATATTTTGGAACGCAGTTAAATACCAGGCACGGGCCTAAACAACATCTCGCGCCTGACAGTCACAATGCATTGCGGTCTCTGTGCAAGCCCTGGCTCACAAATCACTTTGTCACATCTCCCAGTAGTGGATATCATCGAATGCGAAGAAAAGAAAAAAAACAACAGAAACATAGAGGAAAAACTCTTGAAAAGAAAAGGAAACATTTAAAAAGCCGGCGTCCGAACTTAGGGTTACGGTAGCGAGCATGTTTTAGTGTAGTGAAGTGCGTCGAGCTTTTGCACCACAGAAATTGCATCATTCGTGATTTTTACGCGTTTTACCTTACGAGATGGGTTGCAGTTGACTGTATGTGCTCCCAATGAATAAAATGTGATGAAGGAGAGCAGAATTATTTATGGGCACGAGCGCGGTCAGCAAAAAGTACATGCAGTTCCGATTAATGCCCGCCGTCCCAACAAAGAACAACTGAGCGGCTCTCCGTCAGAGGGCAGCTAGCAAGTGAGGCGGTCCAACTGAGCAGGCGTTAGAACTAGAACTTGTAGCTCGCTCCTCGCTCGCTGAGGAGTCGCGAGAGTGGGACAGTATCTAGCTTGGGGGCTGAACTACCTGCACAAGGAAGGACGACCATGTACTACTTGAGCGCGGGGGCTGTCTTTAAAGCTGAGGCAGGGTGGTTACGTCACGTTTCGTCTGCATGGCTCGCGATGAATCGCTGTAAGAGCACGTTCATACTTCGCGATCGCGCGATAATATCGTCGCGACTTTGGCGCTGCGTGAACATGGCCCAAATTTGATTCTGCTGTTGCGCTGGTGCACCGTTTAACGATGGCGAGCGCCTCGGTCGGTATCGCGCGACTGGATCGCGCGATCGCGAATTATGAACGCGCTCTGACGTGCGTCGACGCGCTACCATTGCAACAGCGCTCCACTGTTCCAAATAGAGAGGAACATAGTCTTAGATTGGTACCGATCAGCGAAAGGCTCCACTGCTTCGAGAAGGTATGGGGGAATGGGAGGGCGTTGCGTGAACACACAGTCTAGCTTCCCTATTCGTCTATACTTTCTGTAAACTGTAGGGTCGGGCACCGATCGATGCTAGACTGTGCTCAAGCAACGCGTGCCCTCCTATTCTCCCATAAACTCTCAAAGCAGTAATGAGGGCGGCAATTGGTACTTGCTCTGCTGCGCTACCGTCTATATCGTTGCGCGTAGACAAGCGTCGTAGCGCGTCAACGCGAAGTCTGAACGCGCTCTAAGAAAGGTATATATGCCACGTTTCTAGTCGTAATCAATTCCTCGCGCAAAATGTGCCATGAACCACTTCGAAATTGCTTCGGGTACTATATTACTTATAAAAGAAGCAAATGCGTGCGTATGCTTGACGTGGCGCCAACGCGTGCTCCCTCCTATTTTCATTCCTTGAAACAACTTTTTGCCATCAGTTGTCCAAACTAGTGCTTAGGAAGTTGTAATAAACTTTGACTTTTTCAGTGGTCTTCCAAGGAATTAAATAGACAGCTGGCTAGCAAATATTATGGATGTAAAGATGTATTCGAGACCAATGTTTATACGAATTCGAATATAAGTATTATTAAATGATGATTGTTTTAGTCTCCAATTGTTGATGTTAGAATGTTGCCTAGTGTGTTGTTAAACAATATCCAGATTTGTAATAAACATCTATGCAATAAACATCTACCTTTTCTTGTGGTTACTTCGATATTTGACGAAAGGTGGGGAAATGCAATGAAATAAACTAATAAAGGGAGCAGACACTAGACCTGTTGACGAGGCGCTGTTCGGCGACGAGGGGAGGCATTTTGCACTTTCGTTGCTTCACTAGTTCCGCTTTACACGACACGTCTCACTCTGGTGAAACCTGTGAACTTTTGTGAAGCTAGAGCGAAGCCCTTATTATGAAACCTGTCAACTTGAGAACAGGCTGTCTAGATAGGTCGACACGTCGTGGGAAGCAGCGGAAATGCGAACTACCCCACTGTTAGGCGATGGGGGAGGAAGGGGAATGCAGAAAAACAAACATTTTCCAACTAGCTGTCGATGTTCCGGAGATCTCCAAAATAATTTTTCAGATGAAACCTTGACTGTGGTAACTGCTCAAGGGTCTGATCATGAACGTCACATCGTACTTGTCGTCGGCGCCACGTGCCGCCAGTTAAGCGTCACTAGTTTGCCTTGTACTGAATTTGATAATTAACACTTCTATACTTACTTATTTGAAATGTTCATCACAGAAATGTCCTTCCTTCTAGTGCTGGCTCAATGTGGCGCCGCAACTTT